GAAATTTAAGCCACTCTTGTTTGTTGCCGGCTTGACTGATGTTGGCGGTGCGGAGCCTGTAAATATGAACAAGGGTTTCGCTTCCCGCCGCATTGCTCATACGCAGGGTGGTCTAATGGCTTTCAGAAACACCAAGCAACATCATTTAAATGACAATAAATCGGAGTGATATAAGAGTTTGTTATCAATGAGAATTTGGCTTTAAACTGGTTTCAAACCTCGACTAAATATTCCCTTTTGTTGGCTGATTAAAGCCCTTCACTTTTGTCTGCAACTTTCCTGGCTGACATATTCATTTGTTACTTGCCACAATCAGCAATCAAAAGAAGAATTTGCATTTAAGCGGATTTAAGGTATAATTAAGCACTTTGATTGTCTACCGGCTGGCTTTCGCTTAATCCGTTTTCTTTGCAGCTTCATAATTTTTCACGCTCAATTGGCCGCCACTCCAGGAGCTGCTTCGCCGAAACCCTCCTAGGTTTTTTATTCGCCGCATTTGCGCCAAATGCAATTTGTCATTATAAATTTACGTCAGTTTAAGCAAAGGCATTGGGCCAGGATCGAGAGGGGCAGCGGCGGACGCATCCAGCCAGTAGACGCAGAGAAGTTGCACAAAAGTTTGTCAGAAATACAATAAAAAAAAAGGACGCGAAAATCGGGGCGAAAAGGAACTACTGCATTTTCAATATATTCTCAAGTTGACTCAGTGCACAAAAGTCTGGAGCAAGTTTTTCTCCACGTTTTTATTTTCGTTTTTGTTATTGTCTTGGCCCCTGGTAGTTAGGTGTCCGTTTCTGGGCCGCCCCAGACCGCCCAGCCAGAAACTTTTCCACGCCGCAGATTGATGGTCATATGAAAAAGTAGTTAACGCCCAATCGAAACTGTGGCCAAAGTCCGAGTCGGAGCCCAAGTCGAAGCCGGGCTAATTAAGTGACTGAGGGTTAAAGTTTAATATAAATTCAAGTAATCATTTGCCCATTTGCAGTTGCCCAGCAGCAGCTACGGACATTTAAAATGCAATTACTACAGCGCCAGAGACAGAGACAGAGTCACTACCGGAGACAAAGGCAAATTGCAGAGAAAAGAAGCTCATCCCTCAGGTCGGGGAATATCCGTATGCGGGGCTCCATTGATGTGAGCATACGCTGCTCATAGGATTGGGATCATGCCGTAAGCGGCTTAGCGAACGCCAGACGTCAGACATCCAGGTAACTGAGGCAACTCCCAGCCCGCGCAGCGGACACATCAAGCATACGCTCCGTTGTGCAGCTCTGAATTAACAATTTCATTTAGCTGTTTGCCAGCAACTTAATTTATTCGAGTGATGACGTTGACGACGCTGGGGCCGCCACTGCAGGAGCCACTAAGAAAAATTGGCCAAGAACTGGAGGGTGGGGGCTGAGGAGTCTTTGGCGGTAAAACCAGACGACGACGACATAATCACCGCTTTGGAGCGCCAAATTTACGCGTTGCAAGCGCTCGGCTAAGCGCGGCTCAGGCTGCGAAACATAAAATCGCAGCTTATAGAGTGAGAAGTGGTGGGGACTAGAGTTAGAAACACTGGAAACTTAATCCGTTTGAATTCTTTTAACGATGTGAAGAGAATTATCTTCCTAACTTTAATGAATTGCAAACTTCTCAAAAACTAGAATTAATATGTTAAGTTTCTAAAAGGCTTTTAGATCAATAAAGTTTGTAATCATCATATCTCTGATATTTTCGAGTGCATTATTTTATGTTCCTCCCCGAGCGTTGAAGTGGAAGGAGCAGCATCATCATCCAAAGCTGGAGGAGCTGCAGCATCAGCTGCCTTAAGTCCTGGTTGAAGGCGACGTGTGCAACTTTGAGGCTGCTTCCTGCTTCAACTCTTGTTCCTGCATCTGCTCCCGCTGCTCCTCCGGTTCCCGGATCTCCATCTCGCTTCTGCTCTCCCAGGCTAGCTGTGGCAGCAGCTGAAGACGCTTGGCAAAGGCACCCGACGGATGCAAAGACGAAGATGAAGTGCCTGACGGCTGACTGGCAGCAAAGGCGGCGCCAAGAAACGGATGGCGGAATGGTAGAATCGCGCCTGAGCCGGCACTCTATTTATATTGAATTAAATTTATTGAAAAACCTAATGAGGTATCTTTCCTGACATCAGTTGCCAGCTCGCTTCGGTTTCGGCCACAATGCATCGCAGTCGCCAACAGTCGGCAGATTTATGCTAAGACAAATTAATTTATTCACCAGACAGTTAAGTAAATTACGGCAGGCATAAATTTGCAAACTGAACCCGGAAGGAACTTTCCAGGCATTAAAGTAATTTACTAAAACGTTCACATGGTCTTCGCAGGATGCGCCGGCGGGGCGGCGAGGATGACAACCAACTAATTGAATTTGCTACTTAGTGAAATGTGAAATGTTAACAACTTTTGTGGGGCATTTGCTTGTAGGCTGTAGGCTGTGAAAAGGAAACTTTTCGCAATCCAGACCAGACACACTCACTCACACGTACACACCAACTTAAGGACATTAAAGTGCAACGACAGTTGCAGGAGCAGCCATTAAATTTGCGCAATTAACCAGACGCAAACGGAGACTGTGTCTGGGCTGAAGTTGCTCAACTTTGCTAAACTAATTAAAATGCATATTCTACTGGCCCGGCTGTGCAACACCACTCGCCTGGCCCCCACCCAGCATCCCTCTTCTCCATTTGCCGGCGGCAACATAAATGCGAAAACTTTCGCTTAGTCGCCAAGTTACAGGCAACAATGCAACATGCCAGCAAATGGGATAGGTAAACAAATAGATGGCAGCCTAAGTCAGAGCAACAGCATCAGCATCAGCTCCTGCATCCACTCCGTTCACTGTTGTGGCAACATCCTCCACATGCAACCTCGGCCGTTGGCAGCGGCCGAGGCTGAGGCAGAGGACACGTTGATGACAGTTTTGTCCAGGGCCCCTGCAATTTGTATAACATGCTGGGCAGTTCCTGCCAACTCTGGCGGAGTCCCCCTTCGTTACTTCGCATTTTGTTAAAGCAAAACTTTTTGTAAACTCATTAGGGCAGTTGGCCAAGCAGGCAGCCAAGCGAGTGCGCTAACCAAACGGGCCAAAACCAACTCCACAGCCGCCAACAAGGGCGGCGCAGAAGGCAACTTTTTTAAAGAAAACAGCTAGTCTGTGACAGTAAAGTGCACTCAGAGAAAAGGGAGTCTATAACACAATTATATAAAGGAAATATAATTTGAAAAGAAATGTTATTATAATAATCACACACATACCAATCAATAATTTGTAAGAATATTTTTATTAGAAGTGATCTTTTCTTCTTTGTGTAACAAAGGGTCAGAGTCATTGGGGGAAAAAAGGTCCTGGTTGGTAGTGGGTCGCTGGAGCAGGACTGAACACCGGGATAAACAAAAGGCAAGGACCTGGCCAAGATAAACAGGCAACTTCTTATGCAGGCCCGGCTCACTGTCGCTTTTCATGCGGCTAAACATGCCCGACGGTGCAGTTGAAATTTTATTTATTGCATTAACTCGAGACCGCCTGGAAACGCAGGTCGCAGGTCGTGGTTTTAGCTCGGAGGTGGAAAGTGGGCCGGCGGCTGGCTGCTCATAATAAAAGTAATGAAAATGATGTTCATAATGAAGCACACTAATCGACTGCTGCCGCTTTAAGTTGTAGGCTCCAGAATGATATGAAATTGATTTAAATTCTCTCCCGCCTCCTGAAAATGACTCGAGGGAAGTTTGAACGATTAAGCCAGGAGGACAAATGTCGATGCATGAATAAATAAATTTTATATAGAAAATGAACATATGGAGCTGCGGCAGCACCGTGGTTCCTTTGCCAGGGAATTGATTGTGTGGAAAATTTAATGTGAATGTGTGCGACATATTTCATAGCATACTTTTGAGTGTTTGCAAATGGCATTGCCCACATTCTGCATAATTGCAAGCATATGTAAAATAACAGCACAACCAGCCATGGGATGAGTGTGTATTTTGTATTTTAATTGTTAACACTCACATTCACTTTGGCTGAGGTTTCTGTTTGAGCATCGCAACTCATTTCAATAATAAAATTGACTTACTGGCCGCATTATGTGCACCATTTATTTATTATTTTGCGAGGGCTGCTCGCACGGGGGCCTGCCTGCATTTATTAATAATATTTGAGCGAAAATAATGATGTTGGTGTTAAGTTAAGTGTAAAGCACTTTGTGAAAATTATTTTCCAATTAAATGCAACGCCCCAAAGAGTCACCAATCGCCCGGCCGCGGCGCCCATTCCCACATCGCCATCAGTCATATTTTTGTTGAATAAAAATGCCTTTACTGTCGGTTCGATGCCGACGGTTCAATGCACCGAGAACCTCATAAATTCCTAATGAATTGTGGTCCAGATAAGAGCCCGAAATGCGGGAGCCAGGGAAAAGATGATTTCACTTGACACATGTCAAGATGCTGCACAGGCAACTCAATTAGTGGATGCCACAAATTGGCCTCAGTAAATAGTTACGTTGAGGTTGCTGCTGTCCACACTTGTGCCGGGAGTGGCCTTGTTTCTTGTCTCCGCATTGTGACAGGCATAGACATTGCAAAAATAATATTTACAGCAGGCGGTCATCATAAAGATAACAATATGCAGAAACAAATCGAATATGATTATTTAAATTAAACGTTTCTGTGAATCATAAATCAGTTCTTTTAAAAGGGAATTAAATTGTTTCTGTTTGGAGATGCTTTTGATTTATTTGTAATCTTAACTTATTGTCTATATCATAAAATCGAAGCCTAGCTTAACATTTTACTTTGTTTAGATTTATAGATTTATGCAGTACCCGCCACTTAAACTATTTATCATTATTCGAAGCTCGGAAATAATAAGATGAACACAGCTTTGCAGATACCAACACAGAGCCTGTCTCTTGATTATTATAAAATAATTTAAGGTCACAATGACTATACTTTGCTCAAAGTCAAAGCCTAGATTGATCCTTTTTGGGGAATTTCTCACAGCTCCGTGCTCTCCATTTGGGGATTGGCGTTTTTGATTCCGAGACTCTTCAGCTTTCGCAGCCGTAGGATCTGGTTTTTGAGTTTGTGCCGGAAAACGATTTGGTTGTTGACGGTTTTCAAGTCCTCGACGCTGCAGCCTTTCAAGTTGCGCACTGTTTTGGTCAGAAGTGTATCCGTGATGACGTATTTGGCCTTGGACAGTCGCATGTACTCCACATTTTTGCGGGATAGTTGCTGGCGGTACAGGTACAGGTGGTATCCCACATTGGGTGGATGTTGCTGCTGCTTTTGGTAGCAGTGTTGCTTTGGTTGCGATGTTGCCGATGGCATGTTGTCGCTTTCGTTGATGAGTTTCTGGTAACGCGGCATTTTTGGTGGATATTTGTTGATTTTTGCCTATGCAAATTAGAGTTTTCTCAAGAGTTTTGCTTGCGATGTTGCTTGTTCGACGTTTGCTGATCGATTGATGTCCTTTCCACCACCCGCAGTGACTTTTATAGATCCTGGGTGGCTGAATCGTGGGCCTGTCTACCTGAACCCTTTGTGGCCCGACTTTTTTGGGACCCTCGGACCTCCGCACCAACAACTACCTGCCCAGTTGACTTATGCCTCAGCTACTGCCGTAATAAAAAACAATTCATTCTTAATCTGGCGACCGCTATAAAGTTTTCGTATTTTGCAAACAATTTCATTCTTAATCCGTTCCACTAATCCGCCCACGCGGCCGCCCCGGCAATCTACAACATGAAAAAAACATCTCAACTGTCGCGTATAAAAAGATTAAGTGACATTACACAACGTATTTTCCCAAGCAGCTGAAAAATTCAGCGAACGCCGATGAGCATGCACTTTCCTGTCTAGAAAAGGGTAAACTGCAAGGCAGGATGCCAGCCGAACAGGATTAGTGAGCCGTTGCAGCTGCTCCGCCTTCCAGGATTCATTAATGATCACCGAGAGGGACGGAAGAAGCTTGAGTTATGAAATCTCACATGGAGAAAATATTCGAATGGTTTTTTTTAGAAATCTATTAAATCGAAATGCATTTATAGTCTTGAACACTGTAATATTTATTTCTTAAGTAATCAGAAAGCCATTACACTTTAGTTCGAAATTTGCAACTTGTTCCCCTGCCAAGTTTAGACATTATTATTTTTGAATCCTTGTACAAAGTATGACTGGCTACTTAAAAAGCGCCGAGATCAACTTTCAAAGTGCGTTGTCAGAGGCGGTGGGCAGCGATGCAAAGTGCACTCGGATGAAAATGGAATGGAAAATGTCGCATAGATTTCATGGCAACTTTTTCACATTTTCGCATTTTTTCTCTGCTTTTGCATAAACCATCATGTCAAATTCTTGATCAAATAAAACAAAGTTCAACCTACTTTTTGTGAGCTAAAATAAATACGCCGAGCAAGAGGCCGGGGCAACAAAAATACAAGTAATCAGTTGTGACAGCCAAGAGAAGTGGGAAAATATGAGGAGCGCCGGCGAGGAAAGTGATAGACCTCTCGCAAAATTATGGCAAACTTTTGCCTTTTTTATTTCTTAAAACGTAACGAGACGAAACGAAACTTTTTCAAAGTTAAATGTTGAAATAAGCAATTTTCGCGTTCAACTATGGAGTACACACATACTGTGGACTAGACAAGACGGGGCTAAAGGAGAAATAAAAAAAAAAAAAGATTGAAAAGTAATTGCATTCAAGAGCTTGTAGTTAAAAATTTATGGCCTTAGTGCACAAGAATCTAGGAAAAGGGCAAAAAACATAGCGGAGTGAATAAAAAAATGATGCTGATGCCGCTATAGCTGTTGCAGTTTCTGTAGCTATTGCAATTGCTGTTGCTGTTGCTGCTGGGAAATATTGAAAATGTAATTCCAACTGTTGTCTGCCCTTCTGCCCGGGCGATGGTAATTGCAAAAACCGGGAAAGCAGCTCGAACAGCATAACAGTATTACGATTACCAGAAGCGAAAGCAGCTCCATTCGGAATAAAAGTAAGTTAAATTGAAAATGAAATGCAATCAGCTTGGGCTCTTTGGTGCACTCCTTTGCCAGTCAGAGGCGCTTGAATCGGTATCTGTATCTGCATCTGCATCTGGATCTGAATCTTTATGGGTATTTGTATTTGCTGGACGTGCTTCCATTTGCAGTTGAATTATTAACGGAAGGTGTCAACATTTTAGTCGTCTAATTGAGGCAGCAATTGGATCATTGCAAATGTAGTCAGAAATTGACTTTAGGAGGAACAATTTCGAAAGAAAATGCCAAGCTAGAAGGTAGATTTGGAGTGCCACTTAAAAGGGTACAGCAATCGTCTCAAGACCTGGTTACTAGATTTTTTTCCTGGGCAATTTTCGGCCAATTTCTGGCAATTTATGATGGGCAAACACTCAATATCCATTTTGGGCCTCGTTTAATGGCTTATTCGGCAAGGATATTTGTACAAATTTTCCTCTCCATCTAGTCATCCAGCCATCCAACTGCATGCTGTATGCACAAGAGTGTATCCCAGCTAAGGCAAAGGCTTTTCTGACTGCACAATGAAATTGAAACATATTTAGGTGAGCTCTCGTCCTAAGGCCGGAAGACAGGCAGGGATTGGGATGGCAGATCCTGCCAGGACAGTGGCAAATTGAATTGAATGCAGATGAAAGTCCATCTGAGTGCTTAAAGGCCGGCTCAAGCGTCTTGGGGCGCCACTACAATTGCTGCGGTTAAGGAAAGTGCAGTGTCACAACATTTCAAGACACTTATCGCCTAATCAAAATGTCATAAATCAGGCGACTCGGGCGGCGGCGGCAGGCTTGGTGTGACAGCTCGGCGCGAACTGGCCAGTGTCCGCTGGAAGTGCCAGCTAAGCGTTAATTTGCTGGACTTCAGCTGACACGATAAACAGGGGACTTTGGGTCGCTCTCAGGATTGGGTGTAAATCAAATCAAATGACAATTAAAGCGCCATTCAAAGTCAAACGCCCCACTCGAAATGCAAGTCGCATGCAAGAAATGCAGCTGGGTTAAAAATTCGCGAGCTGAAAATGGGACAGGAAGCTGGCGAAAGGAGTGGGCTGGTGGTGGCAATTAATTAAGGCAAACCTCAGCGACATTGCTCAAAAGTATGCAACACACGAACCGCAAAGGCAATGAAATATTGCAATCACTAAAAGAATGAAAAGCCACCGAAGGCAGAGGAAAAAGCAGAGACGGAGATGGCTGAGGAGCAGTCGGAGAAGGGTATGGGTGCTGGTTAGTCGGAGAAGCCAGAGACGGTTGAAGCTTTGGGGTTTTCTTCCGCAGCTCTGTCTTCGTCTCAGCCCTGTTCCGACTTCGCCTTTTTAGTCGTCTCGGTTGGCTTGCTGACGCCCGCTTGCCAAAATTAGTTTCTGTGTCAAAAGTTTGAAATGAGCAAGCTCCTCTTCGCTACGGCTATTGCACTGCAAAAAAAATCGAAGACACATTTTCATTACTTGTTTTGATATGCATTTATTACATTTGTACACTATTATAAAATAGATCTTTTCTATAGAATAGAGAATAAATAAATCTAGAACAAAAAAGCCATATTTTTAAAAAACCTTCTAAAGAAGATTCTATACTTGAGAATATTATGTTGTATGTTTTTTTTTTTTCAAATTTCTTATAATATGCACAGCACATGCATGTATTAATATGCCTGGAATTAATGTTATAATATGCATATCATAAAACTAGCTCAATATTTTAACATGTTCCTAAAAAACGTATTAAAAATACAACTCCATCATCTAGAATTTCACACTCTTTACTGAAATAAATTATTCTTAGTTTGAACACTTTCTTGTTTTTATATTTTTATTGCCAAAAAATCTTTACATTTGTAAATGGTCTTTTTATATTTTTACGGTGTTCTGGGAGCTACCAATAAAAACTAACCAACGCAAAGAAGGAAGCCAGAGGAAAAACTACTCGGCAGAGGGCGGTGAGAGGACAAAGTTTGCGCTGCGCTGATGTAGTTAAGAATTGGCAGCAAATGCTGCTTAATTTCAAAAGAAACTTTACGTATTTGTCATGCGGCGCACATTCATTGCGGTGTTCATTTGAGCGCTCATTCAGGCAGTAGACCAAAAACCCAAAGGAAAAGCCAAACGCAAACCGGAGGCCAAAGAGTCCAGGAACCCGCCCAAAAGACTTTGACAAACGTTTCCTTGGTCACTCACTCGACAACGACAACGACAACGGCGAGAAGATGAAGATGACGATGCTTCTGCATTGGACATTCGCTTAATAATTCATCAGAATCACATCCAAAGAAGTGGCGATCCCAGTGTGAGTCGGGGAACTCGCGTTAATTTGCGGTGGCCTAGTGAATGCGGTAGTGGCCCCCTCGCGGCGCTCTTCTTTGGGCACTTGTGCGCCTCATTTCCTGTGGCCGACTGCCATTTGACTTGCAGTTTCCGTTTCCGTTTCAATGACGCTTTGATTGGCCTTGCGGTATCCGCCTGTCGACCCCGCGACCGGCCAAAGGTTTGACTATTAAGCGATAATTATTTGTGTGGGCAACGCGATTCTTTGCCGACCGCATCGCAAACTTTCGAGGTTTTCGGGCACTTCAAATGCGAGTAGTTGGTTGGCAGAAGTTGAGTTCCTGCCGACACACTTAATGGCCAAAGTTGATCTATGTGAGCCAAGGTTATTAATTAGGAAAGACTGGATTTTGGACTAATCTAAATAAAACTTTCTCATCTTTTTAATATTTCTCCAAAAAATATGAAATATCAAATCACTCGACGGCCTCTAACTAGTTTGCTGAGCAACTATTGATCGTTTGACGCTTCAACGGAAGGAATAAATAAATATTTGATTGCAAATCCAAATCTGTTTGGCTGCGGCATACAAAGAGTCTCAAAAGCGCAAATACAATAAAACGGATTAAATATGAATCGATGGGCCAAGTAAATACCTCTGCACGTAGTGAGATATTCGTATCTGTATCTTTTGGCAACAAATATGTGCGAGTATCTCACCTGGTTAGTAAATCTGTCTTTTCCTCGTTCGCCGTTCGGCCGTTCAATGGCTTTTGCTTATTTTTCTGGGCTGTTTTTTTGTGGCTTTCCCGGTACTTTTGCTGCTCCCACTGCAAGTAAACATAAATAAATTGTTATCTTATTAGTGCTGAGTGGCATCGGACTGATATTTGAATTTCGGGTATTGCACGTTATTTAGTGTTCAGTGGGAAAGCAAAACAATTGCGATGCGAATTGCAATCTTTACGTTTAATTTAGCCGCCGAAAGTTGCGCGCAATTAAGCAGCCATGCAACGCATGAATTTATTTAATTTCCATGTTTATTTCTATTTGTATTTGTTGTTGAATTTGCATTGGTTTGCTTTGCAGATAAACACAGTGGGTGCGTGCCTATCGGATCGATGGAAGCGGAAAGTGGGCACTGGGTGGTTCGAGGGTTGGGTGGTTGGA